GGTTCATAAAGCTGTTGATGCTTGCAAAAATGTCCTAAGAGGTCTGCATACTAATAGGATTACTCCAAGGGAGTTGGATAGGGTAAGTTACTTTTCCAATCTTTTACACTTGTCCCCTTTATGTATAGATTGACAAATCTAGACTATGAACTGTTTCCAAGCATCAATTAGATAAGCGGAAAACCATTGGCTTGGAAAAGAATATGATGTAGCATTTATGGCTGCTTTGTGATGTTTTTAAAGGAGGGAACAAAATACCGACAACATATTATATTGATGTCTTAAGGATGATCTTAATGAGACCAACTATGTGGCAATATCTGGAGTGAATTAGGTGGGCTCCACGGTCAATGATTGCAATCACAATCCTTGTATTCTTGCCTTGCCTCTGGTCTGGTTAGCTGAAATCAATCAAAATTTATGTAGATAACATTGTTTTGATTCATGAAAAGACAGATGAGCTTGTGGAAGTCAAAATTATCGAGAGAAAGCATTTGAAATAAAATGATATAGTTTAAGTCATAAGTTCAAACAAAACTAGGCACATGTGATATATGAGTTGATCAGTATTCGTGCAATGAGAGGACAATTTTGCTCTAATGATCCTGAAATTTCTATTCTTAAAACCATGTTTGTATATGTTTTGTCTCTGTTACTTTATAACTTTGTCATGTTCACAGGCAAAACGAACTCTGCTGATGAGACATGAAGCTGAAATCAAATCAAATGCTTATTGGCTAGGGTTGTTAGCTCACTTGCAAGCAACTTCTGTACCCAGGAAGGTAAAACAAGAGAAGATCTTTTTTAACTGCACCTCGTCTTGGTATCATTAGGGCAAATGCATACAAGTGAATCACCCTGTGATCAGCTAAAGTTCATGAATGTCAAGTATTGCAAGTTATTCAACATGTTATGTTTCTTGCTACTCTTTTAGTTTTAACTTTATTTTCTATGATCAGGACATCACTTGTATCAAGGATCTCACATCGTTTTATGAAACTGCCAACATTGAAGACATATACCTGGCATATGAACAATTGAAGATAGATGAGAATTCCTTGTTTTCTTGTATTGGAGTTGCTGGTACTCAGGCTGGAGAAGGAGTTTCGGGTAAGATATATATCTACGAAATGAATGTTGCTTTATCTAATCTTACAGGAAATGGAATTAGTCAAGTTGGTAAGTGCCTTGAGTCTGAGACCATAAGGATTAGGTCAATCAAATATTTCTTCTTGAGTTTAATCTTGGTCGTTTAAAGGTTTAGTGCATAATGTTGCATTTGGTGTATGCTTTTGACGTTACCTGCTTTTTAACGATGACATGTAGAGCTTCTCGTCTATTACATGCAAGTGGAATAATCTGATCCTGGCAAATCATTTATTGAATTCTTGTCTGAATTCTTGTCTGCAGATCTATTACAAGAGGAAGACTCAGTTGAGGGTCTTCAGACTGTAATTCCTTTGGGACGTGGCTCATCAACAATGACCAGGCCAACAACGTAAAAATCAAGAGCCTGAACGTGCTGGAGTTTTTGCATTAAAGGTATATTTCCTGGACTTTTTCCTTTCTTATTTCCCCCTTCTTTCCCTTGTCTTGAGTTTCTAATGATTGAAAAATGAGAATGATTGTTAGTTTGAATTCTAAAACTAGTTGGAAAGGGGACAATTGAAGCTAGGGGATTAAGAAAACATTTTCACCTTAACAATCATCTGCTGCTTAGGCTCCAAGGGGCTTTCCTTGTTAAAGTAGAGGCTCTGTGCAGCCTGTATGATCTGAAGATGAACATGTGGGAGATTTTTTTTTTTTTTTTCCAAATGTATTAAGATATGAAGTCACTGGTTCCAGCTTTCCAACCTTCATTAGTTCTTCATGCTTTTGTCCTTTCTGGTAACCTTCCTATTGAGGTTCTAGGCCTGCTTGATGGCTGTATCCTAGTGGAATACTCAATCCTAGCTTATATAAGATCAAAATTGCTTCTTGCGGGACAAAATAATTAGGAAACTTCATTCTCAAACCATAACACCTATACACCTCCCATTCCAGAGCTTGCGGGCATCATGCTGCTTCTCTGGAGGATTTGTGCGATCTTGTCGAATTATTACAATGTGGATGATTGAACACCGCTTTGAGGTGGACATTGATGCGGCAGCATTATTACCGATGACATATGGCAAGTACCTGAATCTGGGCTCGTGTTAACTGACGAGGTCTTTTAGAGCTCCCAGAGTCTCTCCTTGATGGTAGCACTCAAATGTCATTAGGTTTATGATTAATATACACCATCCATTTTTTTGGTAATATAGATAATGCAATTCTTATTGATGTAAACATTTTACCACGTACATTGTAGACAATCTCTCCGCCAAAGCCTCAGAATTGTTGTACCATTAAACAGCCCAGTTTTGTATCGCCAGTTATGCATATACATTGACTTAGTAATGGAAAAGCTGTTCTTGTGTATTATCACAAAGGTTTGCCTATGCAAGCTTTTCCCGTGTATTATCATCAAAGGCTTGCCTAAGGGGTAATTTTATGGACTCAAGACCGGAGTTTATAGTATTGCAGGAACTTTCTTGGTCATGTATTGTTTTTAATTGGTGGATGGATGGTAGGTGCTTGTTACAGTTGTAGGCATTATAGAGTATTCTTTTCCATTCGTTGGTAATGCTTTTTGTTAATCACCTATCTATTGCTATAGAAGCTAAATATTTTAATTTTTTTAAAAAAATTGTTATAACAAAATAAAATATCTCATATGTTTTTCAGCAAAATTAATCGACTTACGCAAACAAACATGATATGCGAAAAAAGGGGTTCATAATCCTAAGTTCTAACTCATAATCTTAATTCTTATACGATATTGAAATAAATAAGAATTTTAAATTTAATTGTTAAGCTAAACTCCAATGTATCAAATTCCATTAAAATTTTATCTTCATCAAGTATAGTTATAGTTAGTTTACCTAATCAGTAATTACTAATTAGTATTTAGTGATAGGATTGAGATTTATTCTTGTATTTAGTAATATACATAAGTGGGCAAATATTCTACTTTTGTCTTCTATTGATTTTATGCGAAAGCATAAATAGTTTCCACTTAAATGCTCTTGAAATTTTAAGTGGGCATGGGCTGTGTGAAGTCTGCTAGTCATTAGTACATAAAAAAAAAAAAAAAAAAAGTTTTGCAGCTTCTTCGGATCAACAACGGCAAATTACAAATTCCACGTAGCTCTTGGGGAAAGGAGAATGAAACTTGAGGCTCAATAAATAAAAAAACGGTTTGTCCAACGGATGTCCGTTAAGCACTCATTAAAATATATTTTAGGTGTTAAATTTTTGTAAAGGTAAGATTAATTAGGAAAAATGTATAAATGTGAGGATTGATAGTAATTATTAATGTACGTATATGCATGATAGATTAAGTGAAAGTTAAGTGTATTAACGAGTGTTTATTGGATATTCGTTAGAAAATTTCAATAAAAAATTACTGTAATTATTTATATTTCATACCAACCGTAATAATTAATGCGCGTGGTAATGTTTAGATTCTCAGTCAGCTTCGCACTATGGAACTCAACAAAGAGAGAGGGAAGATGCCAAGAATATATAAAGTAGCTTTGACATAATCATGGACAAGGGATCAGCATCTCTTTTTTTTTGCTTTTTGCTTTTTTGTAAGTACGATTCTTTACTTGAAATCTTTAATCTATGACTCCTGCAACAAAGAAGGGAATCACAATAAATCCAGGTAGATCTCTGCATATTCATTTCTTATTCTCATCCGGGACGAATCCAACGATTACACGGACTTTGTCAATAATACCCCGTAATGGGTGCTTTATTTTCCTGTTTTACACTCTTGATTTCCACTAACCCAATAATGAAGTGTGTCATCCCCTAGTTTTGGTATACAAATTTGATTTTCAATACTTCAATGTTGGCTTACTCCGTTTCATCCATGCTGTCTTTTCAAAAAATAAATTAAAAAAAAAGAGGGGAAAATATCCATTGTGGAAAGATTTGTAAGACCAATTATTAGTCCAAGAAAGAAATTGGTAGAGTTAAAATTTTTTATTATATGAAATTGTTACCGTTTGTTTTGACTCTGTCATCATCAAAACTATAACATAAGAAACCCGGGATTGGAGGAATCGGAGCGAAGCGAGCGACTGTTGGACCGGTGGAATTGGAATGAAAGTCGCGTGTCCTGATGCAATCGGAAAAACCAAACAATGCCAAGCCATATTGGTTGGAAATTATCCCACATCGTATTGCCAAAGTCTGAATGATGGATGGGGCATGCACGACCTCTTGTTATTCAACTCTCGCATTATTCAACTTGACCTGAGTCATGAGTGGGGTTAGTGGTTTGGTGTAATCTTTGGTGATTTACCATCCACTTGATTGCTTGATTTGTTTTTCAACAGCGCAAAGGAACACGCACCCAGAATCTAAGATAATTCCACCAGTTTACCAAAAAGCAATTGCTTGATTGCTTGATTTGTTTGTTGATTAAGATGATTGACAATATTTCCTCCGCAATCAGATGACTCTTGAGGTTTATTTCTTCTCCATGTTCTGACAAAAGCCTATCCTCTATTTAGCAAAGCTCAAACATAAGTTCCTCTTTGGCTAAGCAGTAAAAGACCCCCAAAAAAAAAAAGTTTCAACAAAAAAATAAAAAACATGTGAAAATTCCCTTGGATGTGCGCTCATTTTTGTGTTTACCACGCGAGACCCTATGTCGTAGTCCATATTACCAAAGTAGAAATCTCTTCATCAACGTCTTAGAGAGTTGAGAGAGAGCGTGACTCCCTGGATGTTGTTAGCTACTTCATAATCATCAGTTCAGTTCTTGGCTATCACATGATACAGGAACAATTACCCTTCAGCAGCACAATACAGCCGGCATCACTAACGCAATACTCCATCCATCATAGTGCAGATTCCTACTCCACAATGAGAGACACACGGCAAGATCCGCACTTTATGCATGCTGAGGTCTTGAAACAAATACATATGCATATGATTACTTCCTAGGCACCAATGGATTGCCCTTGATTTGAATAGCAAAAGATGGACAGACAGAGGCAAACAAATATTATCAAAGAAAGAACAATCCTATGAAGAATCATATGTCCGGGACCAACCGACCGTTGGACTAAATAAATTCCACTGCTTTGTGTCAAAGGATAATGAAGCTGATATATAAGAATGATAAGAGAGTACACTTCATCTAAATGACTCCAGCGTTCAAGAATGCGAATAAATCCATGATGCGGCAGAATATGGTTTAGGCCTCATGGCTTCCACACAATGGTTGTTTCTGCAATCATGGAAGTCACGACATAAGGATCCATGTTTGAAGCAGGCCTCCTGTCCTCGAAATAACCTTTGCCAGCCTTCTCTGTGTCCCTGCCAACCCTTACAGAGGCTCCGCGATTTGCTACACCCTGCGTGTCAATTGTATACACAGTCTCAGCAGTGTGACATGACCGAGCAGTTAATGAAAGAAGACAAAGGTAGAGATGAAAAAAGGTGCTCAAGACTCGTTAACTTTAACCCCGGAAACAGAAATAATATTTGGAAATGTCCGGACTTTACCAAGCAAAGTTTCTGGTTGTTAACAAGTATACACTGGAATTCTAAATCAAGCAACCGAAAATAAATTGGCAAGAAGGTGACCATGCCAGCTAATTATCTCATCGACAACCAGTCACTGCTGCAAATCAATATTGTGATGGAATCAGAAGTGAAGAAGTTTTTACCCATGAGAAGGTGTTAATGTCTGCGGTTTCATGCTTCCCAGTAAGACGACGTTCATTGCCTTCCCCATAAGCAGCAATATGATCCTTGTGCCTCAATTTAAGCTTTTCAATAGCCTTCTTTATAACATCGAATCCTCCATCACTTCTCATCGACTTGGTACTGATAGCAACATCAATAGCGTTTTATGCCACAGGTTAGTATTGCATCTTAGAGCATAAATGCAACTCATAGTATGACTTTAACAGTCTACTTGAAATAAATTTGCAGGGAAGTAATTCTTCACAAAATAAAAAGGACTTCAAACCTGTAATTACTGTGAGCACCAGCACCATTCCAGTCACCCTACCAAAGAAAAAAACATTAGCAGCTCTATGATAACATCACAATCTCAGTAATCTCACAAGATGCTAAAATTGGTAAACAGGCAGATCTATGGAGTTCACGATTCTAACCTGAATAGGTTTTGGATCAAAAGAAAGGACCACTCCAGCAATTTCAGTTATCCTCTGTCAACAGGAAAAGAGAGTACAAATCATAAGCTAGTCGTCAACAAATTAAACGTGGATATCTAATTTTAGATTCTAGTTTAGTCAGTATGGACTGTAACTGAAGTACCTCTAGAATGTAGCGTGCCATCCAAACCTCATCGCCCGCAGAGATGCCGACGGCAGGACCAACTTGAAACTCCCACTATGCAAAAAAAGACAGTTTTTATACTTTTCGGCCACAAGCATGATTAAAGTTTTCTTGTTTCAAATCACGAGAGGCAGATAGATATATATATATATATATATATATCTGAATTCATGAGTTATACCTGGCCTGGCATAACTTCTCCATTGATGCCACTTATGTTAATGCCGGCATAGAGACAGGCTTTATAATGTGAGTTAACAATGTCACGACCAAAAGCCTTGTCAGCTCCAGCCCCGCAATAGTATGGTCCCTGTGAGTTAGATTAGACAAATTACCAAATCAATAACTCTGTACAGAAGATACCATAAATTGAAGCTGAAAGATAGTAACCGGTAAAATATGACTCGAAACGATTGGATATAGGAAGCCGATATTGAATAACAACAACCAAACAACTTAATGGACATCAAACGAGACAAAGACGCTACCTGTGGTCCAGGATACCCTCCGATCGGCCATCCAATAGGCCAATTAACTTCCTTCTGCAGCAAGGTATATTCTTGCTCAATTCCATACCTGCATTATTTCATTGGATTAACTATATGCCTGAACAAAACAATATAAAAAAAATCTTTTCTAGATCAGTAAAAGTAAAAAGAATTACTAGAACGTACCAAGGTTCCTCTGCAACTACTTCAGGACTGCTAAATATCTTTGCAGCACTGTACCTCTTGTTTGTTGGAATAGGTTCCCCAGCAGGAGTGTAAGCATCACACATAACCTACAGTCATCACGATAAAAAAAAAAAAAAAATTACAATGAAACTTAAAGCAGAATAAGATCGATTGTTTTTAAGTTGAGCAACTAGTGCTAGACAAAAAGGCCCTCACAAGAATGTTATTGCCCCTTCTGAATGGATCCTTGAATATTGCCTGAGGACTACATTTTGACACCCAAAAAGAGAGAAAAATTATTACTTTCTTGGAAATTAAAATAAAAGAATAAAAGGGAAAGTAAAAAAGACAAAAAAAGCACTGAGGTATTAAAACGACATAAGCAAAAGAAACATACTATAAGATCACTTCACTATCTTCACCAGGGGCTTGACCAGTGCTTGAACCATCGTAGTTCCACTTGGGAAGCTTAGCAGGATCATTAACTGGTCCAGGTAAAGTCTGATTCACAGGATAAATAAATCGACAACAAAATCTGAAGAAGATCAAAACTTACACCCAAAAAAGGTTGACTAAACTAATCATTGTTAGTCAATACAGGACTTACCCTGCCTTTGCTTCTGATGTCCATACCAGATCCACCGATCCTGGGGGTCAATAGTCGAACACCGCACATACATCAAAACAAAGAGAAACTCTTGGTGTTTGTTGGGGGAGGGGGGGGGGGTTGGGGGAGGACAAAAACAACAGATAAAATAACGGGAAAAAAGCCATAGAAGTCCAAGCTTTATGTGTTCTTGCATGCAGATAAGCTGATAAGGTACATAACATCATCATATCATATATTTTGCACGATTCATGAATATCAAATAAATCCCAGAAAAACCCATTGATCCAAATATGAAAAAAAAGCCCAACCATGCAATCAAAAGCTGCAGGAAAATGGAAAGATCCCAGAAAGAAAAGAAAAAGATGCAGATAAATGCTGCTGCTTACCAAACATATTCGGCAATGATTTTCTGCGTGGATTCAGAGAGATCCAAGTTAATGAGATCCGAAAGGAGAGACATCTTCACAAAACCCAAATACTCCCACAAGTCAACAGACTACTACTGGTACGAAGAATGGGAATAGACAGTGGGTGTGATTGGGTGGCTGCACAAAGAGAAAAGGGCGTGCTACTAAAGTACTTATTATAAAGTAATGGGCTGCTGGCTGGTGGTACTGTATTTCTCTACTTTGTTAGATGGTGAGCAGTAGATCTAGGGGTAGCTGAGCTGATGATACCAAGTCGCAAGTACATGTATCAAAGGTGAATGAACCGAACGAAAAATGATTTACATCAATCCCTAATAGGGAGTACCAAAGAACAATCCTAAAAGCAATAGGAGTATTATTATATTATAGTACCACTTTTTGTTGTGCGTGAAAATTGGAAAAATCAGGATTAGTGTTCAAGAAACAAACCCATTAATTGTTTCTACTAGATAAAGATTCCAACGCCAGGTTGTTGTTGGTGACGGATTCATAGGATCAGTGGAATCTGATAACGCAATTAGAAAAACACGGGATTTTTGGCAAAGGTTGGTGGAACGTGTTGACTGTCGAGCCTCCAGGATTTGACCAATGAAACAATTTCCAACCACGTGATCATCTTTTCCACATTCTCGGCTCAATTAACGAGCCAATATGGTTCACACTTCATTTCGGTTCTCATTATTCTCATTCAATTTCAATCAATAATATTAAAATTATTATGATGATAAGCAATTAATTTCCACTTTATTTTAATTTTATAAGCCTTTAAGTAGCTAAATTGTATCTTTGGGTTTGTCGCACATGAAGAATAGGACGTTAATTTTTGGAGAAAGGTTAAACTACTTGAGCAATATTTCAATGCTTGGTAATTAATTATAGTGATGGTCTCATTAATGTTCAATGTGCAATTTTATGTTGACAACAACAATTTAGCCACCAATTGTATGGAATAAGTTCCAAAACATGTCTACCGTATTATTTTCATTGATCATAGTTTAGGATCTAAAACTACAAATTAACCACCGATTCAATGGGGTAGGGTTAAAAAAATATACCTACTGCATTGTCATAGGTAGAAGTTTAAGTTGTAAATAGTGAGAATTTAATTATACTCTTCCATAGATGCATCAAAGATAGGTGATTCGATCCATTTACATTTATTTAATAAATAGATCAAAGGGATCAACTCATTTATGTCTATTTAATAAATGAGTTTAAGCTTACCTAATTTCTCATTTATGATCCGTTTGAAAATTTATTTATTTTTTTCATATGTTATTTGATAAGAAATAACAATCTTTTATTATAATTAGATTATTAGATAGATTATGATCTGTAACTCTACTCTTGGATAGCTCTTGTTTGGAAAGAGATTTTCTATCAAAAGAAAATCTGTACGTTTTTCATGAATACATTTTTCAATCACTTTTTTACTTTATATATTTCAAATCGCTACGGTATATTTTCTACAAAAACTCCAAAAATTGCAATCCAAACGCAACCTTGGATACTACATTTTTTTTTTTTGGAGACTACATGGGTTGGTGAGATCTGGACTTACCATCACACTGGTTGGTGCGGTCAATGGTGCTAAGAAGTTTTTTTTTTTTTTTTTGGAGCAATTGGTTAAAAGAAGACTTTGAATTATTTCGCCTGAAGTCGTTGCAGAGATGTTTACCGCTATTTACTCCGATCAGATTGGGCCCACAATCCCATATCAGATGTGGCCGGAAAAAGTAATGAAGAAATGAGCAGGACTTTTAATACTTTTCAGAAATGCCGAATCAAAAAGGAAAATAAAAAACTGCCAAGATTCCTTGAAATTCTCCTGGCATTTGTGAGAGGAAACGTTCCGTTTTGGTCCACGCAGAATACTGTAACAAAAAAAATTTCCACATATATTTTTATAAAGGATTAATCTTTTTTCATACACTGACAGTGTATATAAGATTTATCCTTTTTTTGAAAAGCCTTGTTTGGAAAGTTATTTCTTAAATATTTAGCGTTGGATGAATGATAATTATGTAAAATTAGAATTTAAAATTTAACTTTTACACTCAGGTCATGAATGAAACGGTGATAGTATATATACTGTCAGTGTATATAAGATTTACTCTTTTTTAAAGACTTTGTTTGGAAAGCTATTTTTCATGACAAATTTTTTACATTTTTTGTTAACACATTTTTCAATCACTTTTTTATCTCATATATATGAATTTGATATAGTACATTTTTTATAAAAAAATTTAAAAAATTGCAATCCAAACGTGATTGGCGAAAACATCAAATCAAATGACTGTTGTACCTACAGAATTTAAAGCGTATTTTTAACTAATATTTTATCTCATATCATAAAAAAAATATTCTAATGAATCTTCTCTCTTGAGCACACTCATGTGATTTGCAGTTCAGAATTAGCCGTCATTATTGTTTGCTTCTGACATCGATAGTTTCTTTGATCAGAACTTGTTTTGGAGTAGTTTGTTTTTGTGCTTCGGGCTACGGCATCGGCAATGTCGCTGTCCTAAGTGTCCCGTAGTCATACTAGTGTGGTTCTAAAAGATATATTGACAGCCAACACAATCTTGTATTATATGCCCTGAGATTGGCAATCACTTGGAAACGTTGTAGAGATTTCACAAGACACAGAACTTATTCTCGGTGGAAAACTATGCATCTTTCTGTCAATTGGCTACTGTCCAAATTCCAACTGACATTTGGGTCATCAAACAAAACAGAAGTCTAGACCCTGTGACAAACATACGATAAATCGTTACTTTATATATTGTAAAAATTTCAAAAAAACTAATAATTCAAAGATTAATAATTTGTTTTTTTTTTTTTGTCGATACATAGAATTCCTATAATCTAAACTAGCCTATTCTAGGGGGAGAGGGAGGGGACTCGATGTGAGTAGAAACTCCATCGAAACTGGTCAATGAAGACCGTCACATATTGTGACAAATTTTGTGGGAGGCAAGGTTCGAACCCTTGACCTCCCGCACCACCAAGCCTAAGAAGACTTGGGATAACCACTGGACGCTATTAATTTGATAGCTACTAGTGTGAATACCCGTGCTACGCACGGTACTTACATTATTTAAAAAAATTACAATCTATAAAAGAATTTAAAAATAGTAAAATATTATAATCATGAGCACATGAAAGTATATTTAAAAAAATGAAACTTTGTAACAATAGTTCAATATTGATAAAATCATCTCCATTATTTATAAACGATCACTTTGATGAAGGTTGGATCCTGAAAAAAATTGAAATCTATATCATAAATTGAGCGACATAAGGGTCCAATTAAATATAATTGAATATTTAATTCGATAAGCGAATGAAATACTTACAGACATTTTGCCTTTGATTTGATAATCTTCTACGAAGGTGTGAACATTCTTCACACCAATCAGTTCACACCAATCAACTCTGAGTACGAACGTCAGTATTGGGGGTTTAATTAATTCTATTGATTTTTGTGGAGTTCGCACTATAAATGAGAATGCACGATTTTTGCATGAATTAATGTGTTGGTCGAACAATGCACCTCCATTTTTCCGACAATTAAAAGCATACATAGTTCAAAATTAACTTTTGTTTTAAACAGTTTGTAAATAATATTGTGTAAAAAAATATACATATAAATAATGCATACCTTTGTTTTTAAATCTCTAAGATAAGAATCATCACAATGAAACATGAATCGTGCATGCCTGTCTTGAAGAGCGAGGTATAAGGTACCACTGGAATCTCTAACTTCTATGTTAACATTGTATCTGTTAAGAAGAAATTGTGATGTATGATGCAACAAATTATATTAAAGTTCAAAATATATGAAAATAATTACCTGACAATAGTATCGACTACGTCATTACAATGGATACACACCATTTTTTCAAAATGAGATTGACATGGTTGGCCACAATTTTTGCATAACTCATGGAACATATTGTCTAGGTTAATACTTTGAATGTAAGCAAGTATCCGAAATATTTAACCTAAAACCATCCAAACAATTATAGATTACAATTATTAATTCGAAACTACATGTAGATACTTGTTCATTACTTAATTAATTGAGAGCAATTGTACCGTAGGTATAACTGCATATTCGGATATCCATATTCTCTTAGCATTTGATATCAACAATGCTTGGGACATTGTAAAATTGCATGACCGCAACCACGTCACTAATTTCTGAGCACATTTATCATTCTCAAACCTGCAAATTTTTCAAATACATATTCGTAAGGGTATGAAATATTATTAATAATTTAATATTTTGGTATTTGTAAAACTTACCAACTGTGTAGGTATTGTATATAATATAATACATTTAAATATTTTTATATAAATATATAAATATATTTATTTATAAATATTGATAATTGTATTATAAATGCATAAATGTATATTTATATTAAAATATGTAATTTATAATTTATAATTTATACATTTATACATTTATACATTTATATAATATTCATTTTAAATTTATACATTTATAATAATATACATTTATACATTTATAAATATATTTATATTATGTATTGTATATAATATAATACATTTATAATACATTTATATATTTTTATATAAATATAGTTATTTATAAATGTATTATAAATGCATAAATGTATGTAAATATAAAAATATAAAAATTATAAATTATAAAAATACTCAAAAATATGTTTTAAAAATACCTCTAAAAATAATCCAAAAAATTTCTACTGTAAAAGTTTTTCATATAGTTTTTAAAAAACAACTAATCCAAACAGACTTGTATTTCAAAAACGAAATGCTATAGTGTTGTTTTTGAAAAACAACCCCAAAAACAGCTAATCCAAACGGACCCGTATGTAATTTAACATTTAGAATAGTAAAATATATTTTTTATTATGTTAATTATAAAACCAAACAAATTGTCAATTTTGGTAGTAAAAATGACAATATATTTATGTGAACCTTTGATATTAGATAACATTGTAGTGATTCTATTCATTATGATTGACTACTGCATATGCAATAATAGGTTTTAGTACTATTTCGTAACATGTAACATATTAACAAAGCAATTGGGGAGCTTTCGGTAGGATTTATTAAAGTGCTTATAAGCAATTGGTACTCTTTCCACATTCTTATTAACAATGAAAACAACAATAATATTATAATATTCGGAATTGTATTAATACTTAGAAGTACAATAAAAATGCCAAATTTTAAAGAATACATAATACCGAAATTTCTAACTTGATTCTTATAAACAATCAA